AGTAGTACTCTCGTTACGTAGTTATTACTTATTGTATACTACGTACGTACGTAACGACACACACACACACACACACACACACACGCGCGCGCACACGCACACACACACACACACACACACACACACACACACACACACACACACACATGTGTGTGTGTGTGTGTGTGTGTGTGTGTGTGTGTGTTGAACCTATCGATCTACATTACCCTAGGCAAGAAGAAGCCATATTGTCACCAGAACTCTTGTCGGTCCGGTCCCATAATATGTGAGGAAACGTCCCATATTTTTCCCGAAATCTATATCGCCCGTGTCTATAGCAACGTGCGTTGATCTCTTGCAGGCGAGAAGCCGTACCAGTGCTCGTGGGAGAGCTGTCTCTGGCGGTTCGCTCGCTCCGACGAACTGACGCGCCACCTACGCAAGCATACGGGCGCCAAGCCGTTCCGCTGCCGTGTGTGCGACCGTTCGTTCGCCCGCTCCGACCACCTGGCGCTGCACAACCGCCGCCACGCGCCGAAAGCCAAGGGCTTGTGACCGGTGTCAGTCGACCACCGGCCGTTGTCGTCGTCGTCATCGTCGTCATCGTCGTCGTCATCGTCTGGGAGCCAAACGTCGTCCGCAAGTGCGCGTGCACGCCGAGGGCGAGCGGTCGTGCCCGCGTTGTCGTCAGATCGTGTAGCTAACGTGGACGTGGATCTACGAGGACGACCTACATCCTGGCACGGACCGCGCGTCGCGTGGCACAGCCGGACATCCTGTACGCGCAGGATGTCGCTGTAAACCACTGGCGTTATCGGAGATTGACTTTTTTTTAAATGTGGCCATACGCGCTGTGTAGACTGTACAATTGTAGTGTATCGACGAAGAAGAATTTCTATTGTGGTATAAGTGATGAGTCAAAAGAATCTATATTTATTAAAACGTGTTTGTTTCGTTAGGTCTGATATAGGCGTAGGTATGTACAGATCATGAAATAACTGTTGTTTCGTCATATTTAATACATTCCGTATCGTATTTTCTTCCTGTTACTTCATCGTTGTAGAGGAGGAGGTGCCAGTAGCGACCTCCTTTATGACTACACCGAGTCTTCATTGAACTTTAGATAATAAACTAAGATCTGTATATAGCTTAGACGTTGATCGCTGCTGTATTGTGCCGAATTCGAGTGTGACTGGTGACTATGATTGATTTATTAAGCATGTATTCTACGGTATAATAATGTATTCGCCAGACAGGGATAATGTTAGTTTTTCGTGCATCGAAGCAATAGATCATCGAGGAATCAAATTGAGTTGCTGTTTAGACAGGTAGCAATAAAGATAGGCGAGGTACGGTAGAATTGCGGTAGTTCGATTTTCTATTGAGGGACCAAAACGCTTAAAATGACCAGATTTTTGTGATTAAAAATTATTGTGAAAATATTTCACCACGTGCCAACTTAAAAATGGAGTGCCTGTGTATACAATTGTCGTTGTTCGTATTTTCATAGATCCTAGATGAGTTATCACTATTGTGTTTATTAGCATGAAATGGGATGTGCTCTTTCAATAAATCCGCCAATGAACTGGCAAATATCCCAGTAGACAATCAAATATGACCGAATTAAGCTGATTTAAGGAAAGTAACTTGTTTTTGTTTTTTTAATTCGGCTTCTATGAACATGCTTTCTGTGCCTACCAATCAAAATGGATCTTAAATGCGGTACGTATTTGATTTTAGAATATACGGAATATGTGTGGATTACAAAAATATATATTTTAGTATACGGACATTATTGTAGTCGTGTTTTATCTATGTGATGTTGGAAAACCTATTCTGAAATGTTTATAGAATGTAGTGAATGCATGTAGAAACGTGCACGTAATAAAGTTTAGTGCTCCATATCTAATTACCAATTGGAATTATGTAAATTGTTTATGAAACGACGTAATCAAAATTGTTCTAAAAACTTATCAATGAACTTTTAATGAGTCTTCTATCTCACAAGGGTGTAACGTTTTTGCTATAATAACAGAATGCTCACCTTTGCTACCATTGTAAATATTGGAAAAATTTTGTATCTAATTAAATCTTATGTAATCTCATGATGATAGTATGGAAAACTTTGGAATTTTTCATGCCACGCATGTCTAGTAATAAACAGACCCTTCACGTTCATCTAAAAGAATCTGTAACATTTATTATGTACAGTGTTCATCTTATCACGTTCAACAAGGATGTTCTAAAGCCAATGCGCGCACCTATAAAATAATGAGTCATTTAACTTCACATACATCTATTCTGTTTGCTCTAGTCAAACTGAATTTTCTGGACATTCAACTTCTAACTAAGATCGATAAGGGACATTAACAACCGGTAGAACGGAGAAGTAGAAAAGGAATAAAGTAGGTGACCGAGAAAACCAGAGAGATGGAGAGGATATTCGCGAAAGAGCGAGCAGGCGCGCGCGCGAAACCTAGAGGTCTACGTAACGAGACAGATAACAGATACATAGATAGACAGATAGATAGACAGATAAATAAATAGATAGATAGAATGATAGATAGGTATATAACGGATAGATGGATGGATGGATGGATAGACAGACAGACAGATAGATAGATAGATAGATAGATAGATATATAGATAGATAGATAGATAGATAGATAGATAGATAGATAGATAGAGAGACTCTCTCCTCTCTCTCTCTCTCTCTATCTCTCTAAATAGATCCAGAGCTGCCAGCGTGGAGGCAGATCGTTCAGCATTTTTCAAACAGCGCTGCGACTGGACTCGCGCAACCACGTGAATCAACAAAAGAAACGCTCGTCGCCTGTTTTGATTGCGGCGCCACGGCGCGCAGTATCGATACGTTTGGAGAGCAACACAATACTATTATTTTTGCTCTCCGTCTCGGGACTCCGCCGTTAACATTAGCGGCGCCGACAGCGGCGCCGGCCCGTATTTTCTCACGTTAGCCCTCCCTCTGACATATTGACGCCAATTTGAGACTATTTAAGCGCCGCGTGAAAAACCGAATAAACAAAACCGAGGAATGCGCGTTGGTTGACCTCTGTCCAGCGCGATTAGCTACCCGGCGCTCTACCGTCCCCCCTCCTCCTCTTCCTCCTCCTCCCCCCCACTTCCTCCTACCTCTCATCCTGCTCCCCACTGAGCCTCCCCGCCGCCGTAGCAACCTAACAGCTTCTTGGAGCAGGCGCCATCTTGCTACAGCGTCACACTTCTCACACTCTTCAATACCACCGGGTATTATTTTTCGAAAATTAAAAGCGGTCCATTATTTGCCGTAGCGGCGGCGGCGGCGGCGGCGGCGGCGGCGGTGGCGACGGTTGTGGCGACCATCGTCGGCGTCTGCCCGGACAACCGTCACCGCGTCGGCTGGCATGCGGCGGGGCGAGAATGGTCGCCTGTCGTGTTTATTTTTAACGCCGATGAAAAGCGGGAGCAGCTCCCGTCAAATAGCGCCGTGCACGCTCGTGTTTGCTGAGAATTCACCTAATACACCTTCGTCACAATGGCCCCCGCCCGAAAGGAAACATTTTTCCACACAAAAGGAGCACATGAGCCGCTCTCCCACGCTACCCTGAGCGCGCGAGCGCGTCCCGACCGCGACGACGCGTCGCGAGCGCCGAGCGCCGCCGGCCAGGGAAGAGTCGAATAGTTGAAATAGCTAAAATATTTACAGATGTGTCGTTTTCTAAAGAAGTCGACCACTCGGATGGACTTCGCACACACCGAATCCATGCCTTTCAAGGGCCTAACAGCGCGCATTGGTGGTGCGGATGATATGAGGGAGACCAGCACTACTGGCCCTCGGGCCTTTGGCAGCATTCCGTTGCTGGACGCATTACATGACAGCGAGAATGTTCGGGAACCGTGGGATAGATAGATAGATAGATAGATAGATAGATAGATAGATAGATAGATAGATAGATAGATAGATAGATAGATAGATAGAGAGTAGAGAGAGAGAGAGAGAGAGAGAGAGAGAGAGAGAGAGAGAGAGAGAGAGAGAGAGAGAGAGAGATGCAGGCACACACGAAGGGAAGTTG